CCACCCATGGGGATGGGGGGAAACTGCGCCACCTGGGGATGGGGGGGTAGGAAATCCCGCCCACGCCATGGGGATGGGGGGGTAAGACTGCCGCCCAGCCATGGGGATGGGGGTGTAAGACTGCCGCCCACGCCATGGGATACTGACTGCCACCACGCCATTGGAGGACCAAACAGAGTTGAATAACTATAGGCCCAAAATCCAACTTACACCCTCTCTCAAAAATCTTCGAAAATTATTATTAAAACGAATCTACTTCCTACCTTATCTCCCAAAACATACTCAACCCTGCCAATTGGATCAGGCCTATAAAAATACAATGATGCTATTATACACATGCTAAAATATTACACTGCAATGAGAAAAAAGAGTCCCACTGGGGTCTTATTGCTTGCGTAAAGCTTTTGATACAGTTGACCATGATTGCTCCACATTAAAATTCACCACAGGTATAAGAGGGCACTCCCTCAACTACCTCAAGTCTTACCTCAGCAACAGAAGCCAAATGTTTACGCAAAATGGGGCAAAACTCTTCTGCGCAACCAATTACAGTTGGTGTCCCACAGGGAAGTGTCCTAGGCTCTCTTTTCTTTCCCCCTATACATAAATGACTTCCCAAATGCTTCGCAATTACTCAAACCCATACTTTTGCAGATGACACTACATACGTCTTCTCTCACCCGAGCCCCTCCATAGCCAATACTGTAAAAACCGAATTACAGAAAATATTCCTGGATGAGAACTAACAAAATTACACTAAACATTGACAAAACCTACTTCATTCAGTTTGGTAAAAGAGCTACAGAGTCCCTCTTAAAATAAAGATAAACGACACCTATCACAAAGCTAACAAAAGGGAAAATTCTAGGAAAACCACCTTGATAATAGACAAATTCATACATATTACAAAAATTTCTAAGAAAATTTCCAAGATGTAGGCATACATCAAGATACGGTACTATGTTCCACAGTCAGCCCTCTGCCCCTTATCACTTTTATTTACCCCTATCTCAATATGGAATTTGTGCATGGGGCTAAACAAAAAAACCATCTCAGACCACTAATTACCCAACAAAAGGCTGCAGTTTGAATAACAAATTCTCACTACAGGCAGCACACTCCACCAATATTCAATACACTAAACCTACTCACCATACAAAACATCCATACTTATTACTGCACCTATTACATACATAGAACACTTAACTCTGATATCAACCCTCCCCTCAAACATCTCCTTGCCAACCTCAACAGAACACATGACCATAACACAAGGCACAGATCACTCTTTGATGTTCCTCGTGTCCATCTCACACTATGCAAAAACTCAATGCACATAAAAGGCCCTAAAATCTGGAATTCATTACCTGTAAATATAAAAAACACTACCTGTTTATAAATTCAAGTCTCTTCTCAAAGATCACTTACTCACCCAAAACCAAATAAATACTGAATAACTGAACCTTATAAATTGTATATCTTAAATGTTTCTCACAATTATATCACATAAATGTTAAACCTAAAACCCAATCTAACTTTATTATTTTTTAAATACACTACCTAACAGAATACTTCATACGACTGAATGTACAACAATGCATGCAACCATATGACCTGTCTTTGTAATACTCACTTGTGCTTTATAGTAATCTGTTTACATTAATGTTTTATCATTGATTTCATCATTGCTTAGTTAATCTTAAGTTAATTTTAAGCCAGCCCGTAATGCTATGCATAGTATAAGTGGCTTTGGCATGCTGCTCTTATCTGTATTTTTTTGTACCTCTGTATGTGTGCTCAAATTGTTAATAAATAAAATTGTTAATAAATAAATAAATAAATAAATAAATGGGGATACTGACTGCCACCCACGCCATGGGGGATACTGACTGCCACCCACGCTATGGGGATACTGACTGCCACCCACACCATGGGGATGGGGGGTAAGACTGCTGTCCACACCATGGGTATATGGCCCATTATGAAGATTATTAAACTCGCCTATATGGTGTGTATGGCTGTTAGCTTCATACGGGTTATAATAAACACGGGTGTTGGAGCTTTATAGTTTATACAGTTAAGTTAGTTCATACTGTGTACAGGTGTAATTAAACTTTATACAGCAGAAATAAAGCCTTTATATATTGTTGACAGGTGTAATAGTTTTATACAGTATGCAGGTGTAATGATGCTTTATAGTGTATCCATGAAAAATTAAATGGTATAAAATACCGACAGGTTGTTAGGTAAGACACACATGCAACAGTTAGGCATCTTTATTTCGAAACGTTTCGCCTACACAGTAAGCTTCTTCAGTCGAGTACAGCAAAGTTGATAGAAGCAGAAGACTTGAAGACGATGTAACCAGTCCATCACCCTTGAAGTTTTGAGGTGGTCAGTCCCTCAGTCTGGAGAAGAGCATTGTTCCATAGTCTGAGGGACTGACCACCTCAAAACTTCAAGGGTGATGGACTGGTTACATCGTCTTCAAGTCTTCTGCTTCTATCAACTTTGCTGTACTCGACTGAAGAAGCCTACTGTGTAGGCGAAACGTTTTGAAATAAAGATACCTAACTGTTGCCCGGTGGCCTGGTGGCTAAAGCTCCCGCTTCACACACGGAGGGCCCGGGTTCGATTCCCGGCGGGTGGAAACATTTCGACACGTTTCCTTACACCTGTTGTCCTGTTCACCTAACAGCAAATAGGTACCTGGGTGTTAGTCGACTGGTGTGGGTCGCATCCTGGGGGACAAGATTAAGGACCCCAATGGAAATAAGTTAGTCCTCGATGACGCACTGACTTTCTTGGGTTATCCTGGGTGGCTAACCCTCCGGGGTTAAAAATCCGAACGAAATCTTATCTTATCTTGTTGCCTATGTGTCTTACCTAACAACAGTGTATCCGTGTGTAATGAGGCTTTATACACTGTATATGGATGTATTAAAGCATTATTCTGTGTATTAGGGGTGTTAAGAACTTAATATGAATGTCTCAACAAATCACAATAACACTATTACAAAGAAATCAGGACAGATCTTGCCTGAACCCATTCTGCGATTTGTATAATAATATTCATTTCAAGTAAACTTATTGAGGAATATAGATACAGTATAATAACTTGTGACATGTCAAGGGATCATATTAATGAAAATAAGATATCTGATATACCAGGCAAATTTCCTCAATTTGCTTGTAACAAATAAGTGAACTGTAGATATAAATCCATATGTACTTCTGATAACCCTTTTGGGGCCTAGTTCTTAGGCCTTTTGTCTCCATATTCTGATGCACTACCGTCCACAGGATGGATATGGAGTGCATAATAAACTAGCCACTTTGGCGGCAAAATCTAATCATGTACAAGGTACACAGGCCAAGCTGACATAAAGCATGTACTACTATATAGAAAACCCCCTTGTTGTACAGAACAGTTCAGGCAAATTAGGTCAATTTTATCCCAAGATGCAACCCACACCAGTCTATTAACACCCAGGTACCTATTTTACTGTTAGGTGGACAAATCTATATACTTCAGTGTGAGAGTTGAGTGTACTAGCAATTAAGCTCATAACTCATCCCACCAGTCTTCAAATTTACAATGCTTGTGTACAGTAACAAGGACCAAATTCTTTAAACAATTGGCTTGTTAACGTGCTTTATGATCAAATTTTGTGAATCCATTCTCAGCATCCTGGAATAGCTTGGATAACTTCCCAAATCCTCAGTGACATAACTTCATATGCTCAGTACAGGTTTCAAAAAATAAAGCAGTTGTGGTGAGTGAAATTCAGATGTGTATGTGCAAATATAACAATTTTATGCCTAAAATAGTGTGGAATTTTTATTACCAGTTGAATCACATTTAAATAAATTTGTTTACCTCTTACAAGCAGCTTCAGTATTTAATGGTTGATTCATCTTAGGTTGAATTGCACACAGGCAAATTTTTTGATGTAAAATAGTAAACAAAATCTTTTAACCTATGGAATCCATACCATAATTGAATGACTTTCCTAATCCTCATATTTTAACAACTGGTATGGTTTCCTGAGCACAAGGTTCTTCACACTGACAATGGGTGGCACAAGCCTCAATTTACCAATTTCATTAAATAATAGTGATATTAATATATTACTAGGTAGTAGGTTGGTAGACAGCAACCATCCAGGGAGGTACTACTGTCCTGCCAAGGGAGTGTAAAACAAAAGCCTGTAATTGTTTTACATGATCGTAGGATTGCTGGTGTCCATTTTTGTCTCGTGAACATGCAAGGTTTCAGGCAAGTCTTGCTACTTCTACTTACACTTAGGTCACACTACCCATACATGTACAAGCATATATATACATACATAGCCCTCTGGGTTTTCTTCTATTTTCTTTCTAGTTATTATTCGTGTTTATTTCCTCTTATCTCCATCGGGAAGTGGAACAGAATTCTTCCTCCGTAAGCCATGCGTGTCATAAGCAACTAAAATGCTGGGAGCAAGGGGCTAGTAACCCCTTCTGTATATACATTACTAAATGTAAAAGGAGAAACTTTAGTTTTTCCTTTTGGGCCACCCTGCCTCGGTGGGATACGGCCGGTGTGTTGAAAGAAAGATTAATGTTTTAATTTTTTATTAAGTAACTTAACATATGCTTCTGATTGGCTGGGAAATACTGTTAACCATGCATTCTGTAATAAGAATGACAACCCATATGTTTTGTTTGAATAGGTGAAAGTTTCAAATTTTGCAGAAGTGGTTTAACTTTGAATTGTTGGATTCAGATCAGTTACTGTTTGGGTTCAAATATCTACTATTGGTGGGCTTCATTAAAATTCAGACATTTAAATATTAACTAATTATCTGAACTATTTATACACTACTGGGAATGCTTCAAAGTATGTACAGCACCTAGAATTTATTTTTCCACATTAATTTTACAAACTGAACCCCTTTTACCCTATCTCAGCTCATTTTAAAGCCCAGCCCTAGGTAAGGTATACTATCACTTCCCAGGATGTGACCCACGAGTGTCTGCTAACGCCCGGGTGAACAGGGGGTGTTTCCATCCGGCTAGGGATCAAACCATGGACACTCAGTATGTCAGCTAAGTGCGTTACCAACTCAGATGCATGGAATATGCATTAGGGTTTGGCCTGAAGTCTGTTTGACCATAACTTGCTGCCGTGATAGAGATGGGAGACCTGGAGTTTATCTGGAGAGAGTTCCGGGGGTCAACGCCCCTGCGGCCCGGTCTGTGACCAGGCCTCATGGTGGATCAGAGCCTGATCAACCAGGCTGTTACTGCTGGCTGCACGCAATCCAACATACGAGCCACAGCCCGGCTGGTCAGGTGCCGACTTCAGGTGCTTGTCCAGTGCCTGCTTTAAGACAGCCAGGGGTCTATTGGTAATCCCCCTTATGTATGCTGGGAGGCAGTTGAACAGTCTCGGGGCCCTGACACTTATTGTATTGTCTCTTAACGTGCTAGTGAAAGTGCAAAAAGAAAAAAAAAAAAAAGAAAAAAAAAAAAAAAAAAAAAAAAGAAAAAATGACAAGGAAGAGTTCCATAGGCACATTCATATTCATATAGTTTATTTGGACATGATACATAGTTGTACAAGGAATTATAGTACTAGTTGAGTGCACATCGAGAGAAAATTGTCAACATTTACGGCCCAAAAATTCACTCTGCAACCAGCTGATATTAGAAATAATGCTGAACAAATGTAGAAGCAGTAGGGGAAGGCTTGGGGGCTTTAGTGCCCAAAATTCATTCATACTTAACCCCCTTTCCCCAGTAAAAAAAAAAAAAAAAAAAAAAGTATAGTAGACAAGTGTAAGTTGCACGATTGTAGACAGCTTTTTCAACATTCCATGATTTAAATTGTTTTTCATTTACATTGTTTGTGGGCATTTGTGTTGAGTGCCACAGCAGGCAGGACACATCCTACAACCCCCCTTCCCATCCACTATGCACTGGGCAATTCCATTGTCTTAGCACTGTGAGGAAAGGTGTAGGTATGTGAACAAACATCTTTCCTCTTGGGTCAGTGCATTGGACTCATACCATATGTTTTTTGTTCATTGCATGCATCTGAATTGCTATCTAAAGAGACTTATCATAAAATCTTGCTTTCAGGTCCTCTTCGGTGGTAAACTAGCCACTTTGGTGGCAAAATCTAATCTAATCTTTGGTGCCATCTGAAAGGTGTGAAGATATCAACATGGATTGCACATGTAGCTTTGAATCTTTAACCAAAAAGTTTTTTAGGGTGTTACTATTAAACAACAAGCTGCTTGAACTAAGAGTTAACATTAGATCAGAACGTACAACAGAGGAAATGTTTTCTTACATATGGAGACTTGATGAAGCTCAAAGGTTTCTGACACCAGTTTTGATTCCACCTACTAAGTCTGAGAGTGTTTCTTTTATGCACTGGAGAGAAGGAGAGAGTGCCTACCGTATTCATGATTTAGATACGGCATTACAATATTATAACTTGGCCATTTTATCTGCACCACATCCAGACATTTTGGCAGACAATGCTGAGGCTCATGACAGAGAAATGTACAAAGCTTTGGCTCAAGGTTATGAGTCACGGTCTATTGTCCTCTTTGACCTACAGCAGTATGAAAAATGCTCAGAGGATATTGATCGTGCTTTGCAACTTAGTTCCTATAGAATTTCGTGTAAAATGTTAGAAATGAAAGCCAGATGTATGATATTCATATCAGAAGGAAAAGACAAGACATTTGATGCTTCAGCTGAATCTTTAAAGTCATATCCTGAATCATTTGCTTATACAAATCCTAAACCACCAAAGTTAACAGAGGTCAACCCTACCATGCCATCACTGAGCAGCAGTGTCAAGCTAGCCTACACACCATCCGAGGGAAGACATCTCATTGCTGATAAAGACATCAACCCAGGTAATATGTTTTAATAAAATATTTTAATATTTACATGCAACATTACAGTGGAACCTCGACTTTAGAGTTTAATTCGTTACGTGAGCTAGCTCATAACTCTATTTGCTCACATATCAAATCAGTTTTCCTCGTTTAAATTAATTGAAATGTCATTAATCCGTTCCAGCGGAATTCCTGCTTTCGGGAGGCAAGACAAAATACTTCAGTATAACGCTAATGTAAACTCTACAGCTTATTTATCACAATTGATCTAATATGACATAATAAACAATATATATAACATAGATATATACTCTATAATGAATAAAATGTCATTATGTGAAGAGTGGTGGCAGCCACTCCCTCTCTGACCATATCTTCCCATTCTTACCCTTCTCAAAATGGAGTGTTTGTAAGGCTAACTGCACTAGGTCACTAGTTTCATAAGGAAAACACTGAAACAATTTATTTATAAATAAGAAATTTTGTATAAAAACATAAAACATAGGAGTGTACGTATTTACCTTGGAGAACAGATGCTGGCGGAGGTGGAAGGTGGGAAAAGATAGGCAGTGGCATGTGCTGTCAGTGGCCCTATAAACCCCAACAACAACAAAGATAGGCAGAGGAGATTGGAGAAGTTAGTTTCATTTCATGTGTTTTCTGTCGCTTAATTGCTAAACTTACTTGCTGCACTCTTAATGCTACACTTTATCGGCTCCTGCTTTAGTATTGTACAGTCATAAATTCCCACTACAGGCAGCACACTCCACCAATATTCAAAACACTAAACCTACTCGCCATACAAAACATCCATACTTATTACTGCACCTATTACATACATAGAACACTTAACTGTGATATTAACCCTCCCCTCAAACATCTCCTTGCCAACCTCAACCGAACACATGACCATAACACAAGGCACAGATCACTCTTTGATGTTCCTCGTGTCCATCTCACGCTATGCAAAAACTCAATGTACATAAAAGGCCCTAAAATCTGGAATTCATTACCTGTAAATATAAAAGAAACATTACCTGTTTATAAATTCAAGTCTCTTCTCAAAGATCACTTACTCGCCCAAAACCAAATAAATACTGAATAACTGAACCTTATAAATTGTATATCTTAAATGTTTCTCATAATTATATCACATAAATGTTAAACCTAAGACCCAATCTAACTTTATTTTTTAAATACACTACCTAACGGAATACTCCATTCTACTGAATGTACAGCAATGCATGCAACCATATGACCTGTCTTTGTAATACTCATTTGTGCTTTATCTGTTTACAATAATGTTTTATCACTGATTACATCATTGCTTAGTTAATCTTTAGTTAATTTTAAGCCAGCCCGTAATGCTATGCATACAAGTGGCTTTGGCATACTGCTCTTACCTGTATTTTTTTTTGTACCTATGTATGTTCAAATTATTAAATAAAATCAATATCATAGAAGTACTATACTACCCTGGTACTGCCTGGTCAAGTCCACAACCCGCACACCTTGCTTGTTTATCTGTGATTTCATGCCTTAATTCCATAGACATCATCCTCTTTTTCTTCTCAGCACTGTCCTTTGCACTTAGTGGAACCTCAAATTTCAAACTTAATCTGTTCCAGGAGCTAGTTCTAAATTCAAAAAGTTTGAAAAGCTTAGCAATATTTCCCATAAGAAATAATGGAAATACAATTAATCAGTTTCAGAAACTCAAAAATATTCGCAAAAAAAAAATAAATTTTATAGATTATAGTTTTACATACACACAATAAATAGTGTACAATTGTGTATTAATAAATTTAAATAAGCATATAAAATAAAATTTTTACTTTATTGAAGATTGGTGATGGGATCTGGAAGATAGGGAGGAGGAGAGAGGGAGTTGGGGTTAATGTTTGGAAGGGGAATCCCCCTCCATAAGGACTTTAGGTATCAAAGGATAGAAGCGATGGTCAACTTGTTTTTTCCATACATCCTGGCAAGCTCAACAAGTTTCACACCACTCTCATACTTCTGTATTATTTCCTTCTTCACATCTAGGGCGTTTCTCACTTTCTTTATCACAGGGGTACCACTAACAAGTTTCTTTGGGCCCATGGTAGCTTATTTCAGTCCCACAAGCACTAAACACAACGAATTAATCGTAAAATGTTTGAATGAGAGCGCAGGTTAGTGTTCACTCGAGCATCAACAAAGCCAGACTGGCTCACGGTGCCTGCGCAGGGACGTGGACAGAGTGGGCTGGCAGACAGGTCTGGTACCTGGCAGTTCAAAAATAGGGGCAAGTTCGATAATAGGGACAAAGTTGGTTCGAAAAAGGCGGTCGATTTTCAAAGAGTTCGATAAGCGATACATTAGAAATTTGAGGTTCCACTGTATGTACTTTCTTAGGACCCTTGGTTAGAAAAAATAAATCTGGCAAAATAACTGCACAGAACACAAGCACAATACACAAATGCTTCCACAGTGAGGTAAACATGTGCACTACTGAGTGGATGTTGTGGTGGTCGCTGCACCAACTCGTGGCGGCGTTCTCAAGCGCTCTTGTAATTCGGATTTTGGCTCATAATTCAGAGCAAAAAATCCACAGAGCGATGGCTCGCATCTCAACAAACTTGTATGCTGGGGCACTTGTAAGTCAAGGTTCCACTGTATTGGTCTACTATTAGATTAGATTTTTTATTTTAACAAATTACATAGCTGTACAGAGGAATATAATAGGTGTTTATGCCAAAAGCCCCTCTGTATACTGAGCATTTTGGGCAAACTTAGATTAACTGAAGAATAGTAAGGCAATAATACATAGTTCATATGGTCATTAGATGAGTTAGCAAGTACAGGAGAATTTAATATTATATCAGGTGATGCTACATGGTTTTGATAAGTCTAGTAGAGACTTTTTACACTATTGAATTAGTGAATAAAGATTACAGTATTACAATGTAACAATTTAAAACAATTTACAGTGTGATGTATTACAGTTTAGTACTGTTTAAAAAATGAAATTTGGTATTACAATGGAACAACATACATTATGATGTACTGTACAGTGGACCCTCAACCGGCGATATTAATCCATTCCTGAGAGCTCATCGTTAATCGAAATAATCATTAGTAAAGTTCATTTTCCCCATAAGAAATAATGGAAATCAAATTAATCCGTGCAAGACACCCCAAAGTATTGAAAAAAAAAAATTTTACCACATGAAATATTAATTTTAATACACACAAACTGAAGAAGACATGCACAGTTACATGACACTTACCTTTATTGAAGATCTGGTGATGATTGATGGGATGGGAGGAGGGGAGACTGTTGATCATCTAAGTGTTTAGAAGGGGAGTCCCCTTCCATTAGCACTTGAGGTAGCAAGTCTTTTTCTGGGGGTTACTTCCCTTGTTCTTTTAATGCCACTAAGACCAGCTTCAGAGTCGCTGGACTTCTGTCGCACAACGTATCTGTCCATAGATACCTGTACCTCTCGTTCCTTTGACTTTCCTAAAGTGGTTCACAACATTGTCAGTGTACAGGTTGCCAACACGGCTTGCAGTAGCTGTCAGGGTGGTTTTCATGAAAAAAGGTTTGCATTTCAAGCAACTTTGCACACATTTCCTTAATCTTAGTAGACAACTTCTCCAATTTCTCTCTCCCCTCCTCCGAAGCAGTTTCCTCAGGTCTGCACTCTTGCTGTTCAAGATCTAGCAGCTCATCAGTGGTTAGTTCATCATTGTCCTCCTCCACCAGCTCTTCCACATCCTCCCCACTAACCTCCAACCCCAAGGACTTCCCCAATGCCACAATGGATTCCTCAACTGGCATAGGATTCTCAGGGTTAGCCTCAACCCCTTCAAAATCCCTTTTGTCTACACATTCTGGCCAGTTTTTTTCCAAGCAGAGTTCAAGGTCCTCTTAGTCACTTTCTCCCAAGCCTTACCTATAATGTTTACACAACTGAGGATGGTAAAATGATCTTTCCAAAACACACTTAGTCAGTTGAGTTTCTGAGGTCACTACAAAGCACCTTTCAAACATAGCTTTTGTGTACAGTTTCTTGAAGTTGGAAATGACCTGCTGGTCCATGGGCTGCAGGAGAGGAGAGGAGTGGTATTAGGAGGCAAAAACTTCACCTTAATGAAGCTCATGTCCCTAGAAAGTCGCTCTGCCAAGTCTGAAGGATGACCAGGAACATTGTCTAATACCAGGAGGCACTTAAGGTCTAATTTCTTTTCAATTAGGTAATTTTTCACATTGGGGGCAAATGCATGGTGTAACCAGTCATAGAAAAAGTCCCTAGTGACCCATGCCTTACTGTTTGCCCTCCACAGCACACGCAAATTAGCCTTGAGGACATTGTTTTTCCTGAACACTGGGAGTTTGAGTGATACACCAATAAAGGCTTCACTTTGCAATCACCACTAGCATTGGCACACATCAACAGTGTAAGCCTGTCTTTCATAGGCTTATGTACTGGGAGTGCCTTTTCCTCCTGAGTAATGTAGGTCCTGCTTGGCATTTTCTTCCAAAACAGGCCTGTTTCGTCACAATTAAACACTTGTTCAGGTTTGTCCTTCACTGTCTATGTACTCCTTGAATTCCTGCACATATTTTTCAGCCGCTTTGTGGTCCGAACTGGCAGCCTCGCCATGCCTTATCACACTATGAATGCCACTACGCTTCTTAAATCTCTCAAACCAACCTTTGCTGGCCTTAAATTCGCATTTTTTTTAATTAAATCGTCATGCAACTTCCTAGCCTTTTCACATATGATTGCTTGAGAGATGCTATCTCCTGCTATCTGTTTCTTGTTTACCCACACCAATAAGTCTCTCGACATCTTCTACTGCTTGCGGTCTTAGTTTCGAAAACATAGTTGCACCTTTGGCAAGGACAGCTTCCTTGATTGCCGTTTTCTTGCCCACAATAGTAGCGATGGTTGATTGGGGTTTATTATACAACCTGACCAGCTCAGAGACACGCACTCCACTTTCATACTTAGCAATGATCTCTTTCTTCATCTCCATGGTAATTCTCACCCTTTTT